TCCAGTTGGGAAAAGCTTTCTTCAGAGTGAAAGAAAAATATGGACTGAAAAAGAGAAGAGACAAGGGGAAAAAGCACACTTACTGCTGTAACTTTGGACTTTATGCTTTGCCAGAAGGTTTTAACATCATAAATATTGTTCATGGACAAAGTGTTCCACACCCGGATCATGCTGTCTCCAACACCAATGGCAAGACAGCCTGTGTCCACGGGGGAGAAGGCAAGACTATACACAAATCCCCCAAGAGAAGGCATAGTCCAGCTACAATCCAGAGTTGACAGGTCCCAGCACTTCACCTGAAGAATATTTAAGGAACAAGGAATGGTTATATGTAGAGTGACTAATATGACAAGAAAAAACAAAGCATGAGGGAGATGAACAATCAAGGGCTCAAATTCAAGGCTTGACACAGATTGTGATCTGCACCCAGAGGACTACATGTCACAGCAGGGCTGCAATAGTTGGAATGTTATAAAATGCTGGAATTAACCCACTTTAAAAGAAAATTTGTGGCCCTAAAAGGGGTAGCTGCACTCAGTCAAATTGTATAAGTAAAGCTATTTTTACGCTAATTTTGTAAATGGTTCTTACATCTCTGTCCATTGAAATGGAAAAAAGGAGCTCTTTGTCTTGATGCTTCACAGAACTCAGATTGAACACAATCCGGGAGTGATTTTGTCCTTCTGAAGATCCAAGAAGAGTCCACTTGCGTTTTCCAGATTGGGTCAAATCCCACAGCAGCAATTCTCCTCTGCAAAATTTAAAGGGTGTACTTCACTGTTCGCTTCAAAATAATAATATAGGCTAAATAGAGACTATATTACATGTGCAAGAGTCATACAGCAAGACACACATCCACTACATGTGCCTATACATACACACAAACACCACCCTACAAATACAAACCATATCCATAGTTAACCACATTGAAAAGTGACATGTCACTATTCCTGGGAAGGAAAGGGGTGTCCAAGTTTCCCACCCAGTTCTTCCTTAGCTATTAATCTGCAGTTACTGGTGGGACCCAGGCTGCTGTGTGCCTGACTTACCCAAAAGAGCTGGATACAATTTCTGTGGGACGACCAGAAGGCCAGTGAAGAGTCAGCCAAATGCGCTCTTTAACAGCAGGATCAACGGCTCCACCTCTTCTCTTAGTGGGTGGCAACTTCAAAGTCATTACACCTATGGAAGGAAAAAGGATCACCTAGACCTAGTACATCAAAGTTCTCTGAGAGATAAAGAAGTCCTGAGAATCTGAAGCTTTAAGTATGCTCCCCATGCTTTAAACTATCAAGTTAGCAAATGAAGGCTGCAGTTAGAGAAGAACTTTTCCACCACACTCTCATTATCTCCCACTATTAATTTTACTTACTTCTGCCTCTAGTACAGCTCCATACTCGTACGGTCTGATCTTTGCTTCCTGAAGCCAAGTAACAGCCTTTCTTCGTGGTCGTGTCTTGTGTCAGCTCCCCATTTGGAACTTTGCCCTCCTCTGAAGGAGCTACCGAATACCATTGAAATCATGTTATTATGCTTTAAAATTCAAAGCTTTATAAAAATTAACTGAAAATATATTGATTTGTATCAAAACGTACTTTATTGAACTTACCAGTTGCTTTTGCTTAGCTACTGACTGAATTTCTATAAGGAATTCAATTCTCTAGGAGGACATTTACATGAACTCCAAATCACTTCACAAACTATTAATCACTTCCACGTACCTTGGAGCTCCTCTTGCCAAGCAGATAACTTTTCTTCACCCGGCACAGGGCACCAGGCCAGACAATGTATCTCATCGTCATGGCCTCTCAGCCGATGAAGCACTTCTCTCTTCCTGCTGATATCAATTATAACCACCATGCCATCCTTGTAGCTACAAACAAGAGATTTAAATTAATGAAGAAATCCTTGGAACCTTGTGGAATAGTATCTGAGTTGATTTCCAAGCTCTCTACCAGGATCACTATCACTGTATTACAGACAAAGAAGCCAAATCACAAGCAGCAATGGGACTCCAGTATAGCACTGGTGTACCTGCACCTGTCTCTTCAAGAAGTGCAACCAGTATATTTGGTTTCAAGAATCACAGCAATTCATTACTAGTACAGCCACAAGAGTGGATTTTATACAAGGAAAACTTTTCCCTTTAACACAAAGGCAAATTACTCTTGTTCCTTCCCTCCTCTTGGGTTCATTCTCCTTCGAGAGAACAGTATCATTGAGTCTAAAGGGCTTTCATGTTCCTGCTCTGGTCCATGTAGCCTTGGGTGTCTAAAGGAGTGGAATTGCAGTGGTTGACAAAGGCCTAGAAAAACTAAAAAACTCTATTCCAATGAAGTAACCTATAATGAAACAAACACCAGTGAAGTCTAATTAAAAAATAACAGTTTAGAGAATGTTCAGGGATGCAAACCAAACCTGGACCCTTACATTGCTATGGATTTCAATGTCTTTCAGGTCTACCAAATCTAAACGTTATTTCTAAATTGCTGTATACCAGAAGCAAAAAACAGCCATCAAAATCTCTGAAAAATAACCTTGTAAGTGTGTAGCAAAAATTCACAATATCAAACCAAACCTGGACCCTTACATTGCTATGTCTTTCAGGTCTACCAAATCTAAACATTATTTCTAAATTGCTGTATACCAGAAGCAAAAAACAGCCATCAAAACCTCTGAAAAATAACCTTACAAGTGTGTAGCAAAAATTCACAATAAGGTTCTTGCAGAAGACAAACGGAAAGCAAAACATAATGAATATTTACCCAATTGCCACCAGGTTTTCATGGTGAGGAGAACAAGTGAGACAAAAAATTGTCCGAGGCTCTGGGAAGAACTGCTGGCTGTCACTTCTGTTGTGCCAGTAACAAACAATTACACCTTTTTCATCACCGGATACAATCAGATCTTTCACAAGAGGTGACCAGTGCAACGCTGAGATCGCATTCTGAAGAAAAAGAATTGAATAGATTTAAAGCTGTTTTATCACCATCTAACAGAGGAAAACAGGCAGAAGATAATCTGTGAGTACTCCCCAGCATTGGCTGGGTTTGTTCAAGAGGGTTCAGTTCTTCTGGGCTTTGGCACAATTGATGTACTGGCCAATTCAGTGTCCTGAGTGACAGTAACTGTTCAAATGTATGTTCTCAGTCTGTCCTGTGTGTGACAAGAACTTGCTGAAAGTTATGGGATTGAGTGCACCCTCAGCAAGTTTGTGGACAACATCAAGTTGAGTGCTGTGGTTGACATTGCTGGGGGATGGGATGCCATCCAGAGGGACCTGGACAGGCTTGAGAAGAGGGCCTATGTGAACCTCATGAGGTTGCCAAAGTAACCCCTGGTAGCAATACAGGCTGGGGGATGAAGGGATTGAGAGCAGCCCCGAGGAGAAGGACTTGGGGGTACTGCTGGATAAAAAGCTAGATATGAGCCGACAATGTGCACCCACAGCCCATAAAGTCAACCATATGCTGGGAAGCATCAAAAGAAGTTGGCCAGCAAGTCAAGCCCCCTCTGCTCTGTGGAAGTCACCACCTGGAGTCCTGCATCCAGCTCTGGAGCCCTCAGCACAGGAGAGACCTGTTGGAGCGGGTCCAGAGGAGGGTGCAAAAATGATTAGAAGGATGGAGCACCTCTCCTATGAGGACAGGCTGAGAGACTTAGGGTTTCTCAGCCTGGAGAAGAGAAAGCTCCAGGGAGACCTTATTGCGGCCCTTCAATACTTAAAGGGGGCCTACAGGAAAGATGGGGATGATTTTTTAGCAGGGCCTGTTGTGACAGGACAAGGGGTAATGGCTTTAAACCAAAAGAGGGAAGACTTAGACTAGACATAAGGAAGAATTTTTTTTACAATGAGGGTGGTGAAGCACTGGAACATGTTGCCTAGAGAGGCAGTAGGTGCTCCATCCCTGGAAACATCCAAGGTCAGGTTGGACAGGACTCCGAGCAACCAGATCAGAGGGGGGTTGGAGTAGATAATCTTTAAAGGTTCCTTCCAACCCAAACTATCCTATGATTCTATGAAAACATTTGAAGAAGCGAGCTGGGTTAAGTGGCAACTCCACCCTCCCTTACTGAGGCTCTGATGGTAACCAACAGCTCCTTCAGGTGATGTAACCACGCTGCAGCCCCAGGGCTGGAGCCAAAAGCCGCCCAGAAGCATTCAACGCTTTTAATTTCACCGGGTTTGGAACTCACCTGTGTTAAAGGAACACCACCCTGGCTTTGAGTGCAAAGCCTACCAAACCCAACCCCAGCCCACCCAGCAGTGGTGCAGGCTGTATAGTGTCCCACCGGAGGAACCCCCACCTGGTGCAGGCTGTACTCGGCCACCGGAGCCAGGGTCTCCGTGTCCCAAATCTGGACGCTCCCGTCGTCGGAACTGCTGGCGCAGAGGTTGCTCTGCCCCGGGCAGTGGCAAAAGGCGAACCCGGAGATCCTGTCCGTGTGCCCGATGAGCTCTCCTGCAGGACAGAAAGAGGCCGCAATGGGACCCCGGTGGGCGCACGGTCCCTTCCCAAACCCACCCCCGCCGTCCCCACCGGGGCTCCCGCTGCCTCCCCGACCCCCAGGACTCCCCTGCCTAAGCGGCTCCCGGCGGAGGGGCGGCCCCACGGGGCCGGTGCGCCCCTATAAAAGGCCAGGGGAGGGAGCGAAGGCCTCCGGCGGGTCCGGGGTCCCGGGCAAAAAGCGGGTCGTGCCGGTACCGTAAAAGGCGGGTGCGCCGCCGCCGCCGACATCCAACAGGCAGACGCGGTGCCTCGCCGCGAAGCCGAAGAGGCGGCCATCGCTGCTGGTGTCGCTGCAGCGGCTGCTGTACCAGTTGGGCGAGGCGGGCAGCACCCTCCCCGCCACCATCGCCCCGGGCCGCTCCTCTCCGCCCCGCGCTCCCCGCCAAGCCGCCGCGGGCGCTGCTGCCAAGCGCCGCGCACGCCGTCGCAAACCGCCGCAAACCGCGCCCCTCGCTGCGCCTGCGCCGAGAGCGCCTGCCGTCAAGCGAGGCGGGGAAGATGGCGGCGCGGTGGGCAATTAACGCGGGTAAGTCTGAGGAGACGGAATATAGCGCTGGTCTTAGGAGTTCTTGCCTGTTTTTTCCTTGCTTATGGCTTAACGCGGGTAAGTCTGAGGAGACGGAACATAGCGCTGGTCTTGGGAGTTCTCGCCTGCTTTTTCCTTGCTTATTGTGCTGCTTTCTTGCAGGTAGTGCCTGGACGCGCAGTCTGCTCGGCTGGGCGCGGCCGGAGAGGTGAGTTTGGCTCAGCCGCGCTCCTGGAGCAGGGGCCGTCCCTCAGGTGCCCTGGGCAGCGGGGCTTGGGCCACCTCTCTCTGGGGGCCTCAGGGCTCGGCCTTCTTGGTGGGTTCTTACCTTGTGCTGCCCCAGAGCTGTGGGGGACAGGTCGCTCCGTGTCTCTGTGGTGTCTTTCAATGAACTTGGAGGCTGTAGCAGGATGGAGGTGTCTCTCCTCATGCTTTTCTGTCGGGCATCCAGATTTCCTTTGACTTCATGGCGCAGGTCACAGTAACATAGTACCTGTTAGTCCCCTCTGTGCTCTTCCCAGTCATTGCGTTTCTGTAGTTGCTGGTCTTTCCCCTGGGTCTGGAGGAATGGCAAAGTTGTGCTGGGGGAGCGTTGGTCGCTGCTGACTGTATCCCTGACTTCAGAAGAAAGGCTGATTGAGATTTTCCAAGTGCAGAGCTTTAGTCTGCTAGATCCTGTAGAAGTAAACTGCAGAGACCTGTGTCACTGAAGGAAGAAGAAATGGGCTTGTGTTGCCTGTGCTTTGCTTGATGCCTTGCAGTTAACAGTTATGTCTTAATTTTTTGTTTTATTTATTTCTAGTCTGTATGTCTCCTGCTTAGTCCTTATGCATTATTCTTTCTAGAAAAGTTCTCAGCTCTTTTCTTTCCTGTTCCCCTTACTTACCCATGGATAGTGTACTTGTTTGTTGCTTGTCACTGTTTTCTTTTGTTTACAGTGTGTTTGCATTCTCTTTCTTTTCCTAAAGCTATGAAAAATAGTTGCTCCTCACATGAGGTTGGATTATCTTAAGATAGAGGAAATGTAAGATTCCTTAATTTGTTGGATGTATAAATGTGTTCTGCTAATAATGGGAAGACAATTCTTAATTCATTACTGCTTAAGTTGTTGATTTTCAAAATAATATTCACTTGTCAAATATTTTCCTGTATTAATTGATGATATTTTGCCTGGTGGTGATGAATTCTCTTGATGAGTGAAATTTTTAAATATTAAGCAAATAAATAACTTCTAGTAAATATCTGAAAAAATATTCTATAACATTTAAGTGTGTGTCCTATGCTACTGATAGGATGTGAACATGGTGTACAGTGCCCTTTTGAAACTAATCAATGTGTTCTGTTTGCTAGTCATTTTTAAAATGCTGTACAGTTTGACTACCCACATGAAGCTGTTCAAGCCTTAGTAAAACTCACAATATCTGCTCTTGAACTCATCTTTTTCCTGTAGTTACGACCGGCTGCCCAGTACTACCCAGTACTGCTTTTATCTAGTCAGCAGGGGGCAAAATGTAGCTTGGTTTTTCTGAATCTGAGGTGAGAAAACTGACTGAAAACTCGGGTTTTTTTGTCTCAGCTGTTACTGAAATTTGGAAGTAGTTTGGAATATCTTTCTTTCTGGATTTCAGAATGTTTATAAGCTTCTAATACTTTGTTGATAGTCAATCCCTTGAAAAACTAGGAAAATTGTACTGCTAAAAACACTGTTGGTAAAAGTTAAATAAGTATCGGTTAGTCTTGGAGAAGATATAAACTATTTGTGTGAGTAATGAACCCCACGTAAGAACAAATGGGTCACTGTGTCTGTGTGTGATGACTGGGGGACACTAAATGTGGAATCTCATGCCCTACCAACGTCACTTGTGGTTCATGGTTTGCGTTAGGAACCTGAGGCTTCTTGTTGAATTAAAAAGCCCTTTCAATGTGAACTATAGAGGACTTGAACTGTTTTATTTTGAGTAGTCAAATGTGTCGTTCTCTGCCGCCATCGCCCCGGGCCGCTCCTCTCCGCCCCGCGCTCCCCGCCAAGCCGCCGCGGGCGCCACCGCCAAGCGCCGCGCACGCCGTCGCAAACCGCCGCAAACCGCGCCCCTCACTGCGCCTGCGCCGAGAGCGCCTGCCGTCAAGCGAGGCGGGGAAGATGGCGGCGCGGTGGGCACTTAACGCGGGTAAGTCTGAGGAGACGGAACATAGCGCTGGTCTTGGGAGTTCTCGCCTGCTTTTTCCTTGCTTATTGTGCTGCTTTCTTGCAGGTAGTGCCTGGACGCGCAGTCTGCTCGGCTGGGCGCGGCCGGAGAGGTGAGTTTGGCTCAGCCGCGCTCCTGAAGCAGGGGCCGTCCCTCAGGTGCCCTGGGCAGGGGGCTTGGGCCACCTCCCTCTGGGGTCCTCGGGGCTGGAGGCTCGGCCTTCTTGGTGGCTTCTTACCTTGTGCTGCCCCAGAGCTGTGGGGGACAGGTCGCTCCGTGTCTCTGTGGTGTCTTTCAATGAACTTGGAGGCTGTAGCAGGATGGAGGTGTCTCTCCTCATGCTTTTCTGTCGGGCATCCAGATTTCCTTTGACTTCATGGCGCAGGTCACAGTAACATAGTACCTGTTAGTCCCCTCTGTGCTCTTCCCAGTCATTGCGTTTCTGTAGTTGCTGGTCTTTCCCCTGGGTCTGGAGGAATGGCAAAGTTGTGCTGGGGGAGCGTTGGTCGCTGCTGACTGTATCCCTGACTTCAGAAGAAAGGCTGATTTAGATTCTCCAAGTGCAGAGCTTTAGTCTGCTAGATCCCGTAGAAGTAAACTGCAGAGACCTGTGTCACTGAAGGAAGAAGAAATGGGCTTGTGTTGCCTGTGCTTTGCTTGATGCCTTGCAGTTAACAGTTATGTCTTAATTTTTTGTTTTATTTATTTCTAGTCTGTGTGTCTCCCGCTTAGTCCTTATGCATGATTCTTTCTAGAAAGGTGCTCAGCTCTTTTCTTTCCTGTTCCCCTTACCCATGGATAGTGTACTTGTTTGTTGCTTGTCACTGTTTTCTTTTGTTTACAGTGTGTTTGCATCCTTTTTCTTTTCCCAAAGCTATGATAAATAGTTGCTCTTCACATGAGGTTGGATTATCTTAAAATAGAGGAATTGTAAGATTCCTTAATTTGTTGGATGTATAAATGTGTTCTGCTAATAATGGGAAGACAATTCTTAATTCATTACTGCTTAAGTTGTTGATTTTCAAAATAATATTCACTTGTCAAATATTTTCCTGTATTAATTGATGATATTTTGCCTGGTGGTGATGAATTCTCTTGATGAGTGAAATTCTTAAATATTAAGCAAATAAATCACTTCTAGTAAATATCTGAAAAAATATTCTATAACATTTAAGTGTGTGTCCTATGCTACTGATAGGATGTGAACATGGTGTACAGTGCCCTTTTGAAACTAATCAATGTGTTCTGTTTGCCAGTCATTTTTAAAATGCTGTACAGTTTGACTACCCACATGAAGCTGTTCAAGCCTTAGTAAAACTCACAATATCTGCTGTTGAACTCATCTTTTTCCTGTAGTTACGACCGGCTGCCCAGTACTACCCAGTACTGCTTTTATCTAGTCAGCAGGGGGCAAAATGTAGCTTGGTTTTTCTGAATCTGAGGTGAGAAAACTGACTGAAAACTCGGGTTTTTTTGTCTCAGCTGTTACTGAAATTTGGAAGTAGTTTGGAATATCTTTCTTTCTGGATTTCAGAATGTTTATAAGCTTCTAATACTTTGTTGATAGTCAATCCCTTGAAAAACTAGGAAAATTGTACTGCTAAAAACACTGTTGGTAAAAGTTAAATAAGTATCGGTTAGTCTTGGAGAAGATATAAACTATTTGTGTGAGTAATGAACCCCACGTAAGAACAAATGGGTCACTGTGTCTGTGTGTGATGACTGGGGGACACTAAATGTGGAATCTCATGCCCTACCAACGTCACTTGTGGTTCATGGTTTGCGTTAGGAACCTGAGGCTTCTTGTTGAATTAAAAAGCCCTTTCAATGTGAACTATAGAGGACTTGAACTGTTTTATTTTGAGTAGTCAAATGTGTCGTTCTCTTTATCAAGACAGGCAAGTTTACAATTTTCCAGATAAACTGGGCAGGGACAAAGAACTCCAGTTCAGGAGTGGTCTTGTCTTGCAGGTGGTTAGCATCCGGAAGCCCTTTTCCTCTGTCATGCATCCACACAAGCACATCTCTGCAGAAATCTGAAAAGTGGGAGAAAAAGAACAGAGTTGTCTACCCTCCACAGCTGCCTGGAGAACCTCGCAGACCAGCTGTAAGGATGCACCTGGGAATTTCCTTACCTGTTTATGTTTAGCAATTTCTGAACAGATTGTCACTGCCTCTGGGTGACTCCCCAAAGCACTAGTTTGATAGCTTAGTCATTTAAGGTTTTAGTCAGTTTGGCATATCTATATTGTAAAAGTTAACATCGCTTAGAATGTTTTCCATTTCTAAATTATACCAGAGCTTCAAGCTGTTTGCAGCTGATCACCTTCCTAATGTGTGATGCAAACTGCAAAGGTACCACCCTCTCTTTGTAGAAATCTCTGAACTACAAGGAGGTAGAAGTTGCCAAGGATGTATCATTATACACTTTTTCTGTTTGTACTGACAGTAAATAAATAGAGAAGAATGTGATTATATTGTTGCTTCTGTGCACAAAGATATAAATGTAACTTTCCTTGAGTAGTGGAACTAGTGGTGCCTGTTTTGATGTAGGTAACAGTAGAGTGCATACTCTTCTCATTTCTTAATTTCCCTGTGTTATAGATTCTCTGAGGTCTGATAATGTGATGCCTCTTGCTGTGACCTCCCCTTAATGAAGCCATTCAGAGGTTGTTTTCTGTCATAGTGGTTGATTGAAATGTTTACTATGGTTTGAGAGATTCTACAGTTAGGTGGGGAAGGACATGTGGCATATGATTGCAGGAGGGTTTTTTTTTCCTTAGGAAACCATTTAATACTGTTCAGTGGGGTTGTTTCTTCAGTCTGTTGCACAACAACTTGTGCTTTACTAAACCGTAAACTGAAGCAAAGAATCTAAAATCCTTATGTTGCCTGTATGTTTGATGTAGGGCCTTCTGCTGGCCATTCAAGGCAGCTTTTGGAAAAATCACCATAAATAACATGGTCAATTTTTAAAATGCAGTAATAACAGATTAGTTTTTGGTAACAGCAGGTTTATGCCTGTTTCTCCCTCTCCTTTCTTCTTGGTCACTTCATAACTGGGAAGTACAGTTACAAGTGAACAGAAGCAAGCAACTTAAGTCAGGCATGAAAACTAGATGTTCTCAATTTGGTCACTGAAGGGTCTAATCAGTGCAGTTTTCTCTGCATCACGACCTGGGAGAATTTTACATGAATTCTTCAGTATTTCCCCACTCTAAAGAACTGATAGTTTTGGAATTCCATTTTTGTAATTGTTCTTCACTAGGAATTAATGTGTTGTGGCCTCTTAGGCATACTGCTCAGCAGAGTATTTTCACCTCAAATGAACAGGGGGTTTTTTGACATTTGCTTTGTGGGCAGTGAACACACATCACTTCTGTGAATATTATGGCCTAGGACGTAGAAATACATGCTGTGTACTGTGCTGACTAATGCAATGCATGTTAAAATGCAGTTATTGACCAACTTGCTTATTAAATCAGTTTTTTTACCTGTTCATAAAGAATGCCATCTCTTTCAAATTTGTATTGATGTTAAATGTTACTAGCTAGTTTTGGTCCCTGTTGGTACAGTAATAATGTTAAATGGGTCTTTGGAGACGGCTCTTCATGCCAATCAAACTTGAAACTGTCTTCACTTCTGAAGAGCTAATTAAGTTCATTTTGGTAATATTGTTTAGTTGCTATCCCAGTAAGCTGACTTGACAGCAGTGTAATGTTTTTAAGACTAAATGGGCATGTCAGTCTTAGACTGCTTCTAACGACGGAGAAGAGAAAAGGAAAGGAAGATGAAAAATCATCTGATCAACCTTTTTCAGGGACTTCTGTTTATAAGCAAATTCTCATAAGGTTATATTAAAATTTTCTGTACACTAGCTACTCTAATACTTTTAGTTTCAAATGTCAAAGGTATGCCTGATTTGATATGTCATGGTATAGTAGGGGGAGTCATTTTATTCTTAGGAAATAAATTGTGGAGCAGATGTGTATGTTCCATTCTTGTATTCACAGCAATTACTGATCCTCTAACTTTTTTTTGCACCTAGGAAATATATCACTGTCGGAGGGAAATAAAGTATAGCAAAGATAAGATGTGGTATCTGGCAAAACTGGTAAGCAAAAAGTACTTTGTACTGTATTCATTAGACGCAGAATTTAATTGCTGTATTTGCCTTAATAGCTTAGTTCAATCACAGTCTAATCAACATCTTCATAATGGAATCCTGGGGAAGAGGGTGCATCTGTGCAGGCAAACAGTTGGTTGTAGTTTGGTTTAGCTGCTTTATCCTAGTACGGTCTCGAATGTGGACCCAGGATGACATGCAGATTGTGCTCTGTGGAAGAATTTTTGTGTTGGTTTCTGCTTAGCAGTAGATCTCAAAGGGAACTTGGAAGGATAGTAATGGGCTGTTACTCTCTTTAACAAAAAAAAATAAATAACTGAATATTTTATCAAGATTTACTCAATATTTAGCTCAGAAATCTGTATGTAAGATATTATATTGAAGAAATGGTAATCAAGGAAATAAGCCTTTTGATTTGCTCTTTAACATGGTAAAATAATGTAAATGCTGTCTTCTGAATAAGAGATGGGAAATATTTTAAGTGCCAAAGTTAACTTTAATGCTTTGGTTGCAGATAAAAGGAATGTCGATTGATCAGGCTCTTGCTCAGTTGGAATTCAGTGATAAAAAGGGAGCAAAGGTGATTAAAGAGGTATGTAGTAGTGTTCTTTAACACTCCTAGTTTCAAGAAAACTTTAAAATCAGTGCCTATCACCAGATGTTTGGGGATGTTTCTGTATCTGTTTTCTATGTTTCTATTAAGCCTGTTGGGACCACATTCAAACAACATATTTTTGTAGCAGTGATGTCACGTTGGGACTTAGGAATGTGCAGAGGTCACTTGTGTTGGCTGTTTTAACTTGTACTGACAATAAATGAGTATCCTCTCTAACGATGCTTGGGGTTAAGTTCATGGTAAATAATACAGAATCCACGTCACTAACGACTGTTACATCTGTGTACATCTTACCCGGTAAGAAAGGAAGGATATCAGCAGGGAAAGGACCAAGTTCTGTAAAGACATGAAAGCTTTTCATACACTGTAGTTGTTAGGAGTCTGAAATTACTTGTTTTCTCGGCTGAAACATTGATTTCTGGCATAATGACAAAGAAGTATTCTGTATTACCTGAAAATATTGAATTGCCTAAGTTGATTTTTACTTACCTTGGAATTTGTTTCTAGTCTGGTGTTTAATTAGACATAGGTCCATGGGTGGAAGGCTGACAAATGCTGGTGGGAACCATCTTTTCCACTCCCTTTTCTCCCCAAAAATGTAATAAAGTTGTCCTGAAGATTTTTCAGTCTGTATGCAAAGCACATACTTCTGTAAAAGATGTTTGTCTCTTACCAATTTTGATCTCTGTAGAATGCTTCCTCTGTAACTGACTTAAACTTGCAATTTCTTCTGTGTTATCTAGAGATAAGAAATAGCATTTCTTAAATTCATACTCAGTATTTCCATTTCTTTTCCTTTTGTTACAGGTTCTGTTAGAAGCTCAGGAAATGGCAGTGAGAAATCACAATGTGGAATTCAAATCAAATTTACATATAGGTACATTTTTTTTTCTTACCTTAGTGTAGAAATATGTCATCTAACCCTATGGAAAGTTTTAACCTTAAGATTTTTTTGTTGCTTCAAATTGGCAGAAGTGAGTAGAGGGTAGTTTCTAGTGAACTTATCTTTACCAAAACATGAAAGACACGTGCTTCTAACTTAGCACAACTGAAGTTAGAGGGGTGGTTGTGCTTTCAGCCATCAGTTACTGTAGGTGTGTGACTGGTGGTGTTTGGGAATTCTCTGGGTACATTGTTTTTAAGATGCATTCATCTGAAGGTGGAATTTCTGCTTCTTATGTGAACACAAAGTCCTGAGGAGGAAAATGCCTGACATGATTATAGGAGACCAAGAAACAAACTGTTATTACTTTCTAATGTTGCCAGTGAACATAAATGCTGGAAGCTTTGTCCGTGGCTGGTACTACTAGATTTGCAGGCTCAGAATCTGAACTTCTCTTAGAAACAGTTTAAAAGTAAATGAAAATTGACAGTAGACTTCTTTAAAAAGGCTTTGTTATAGATGATTACAGGATAATCTTGTAATAACTACAGCGTTTTCTTGCCTAGAGAAATGTTTACTTGTAGGTGTTTTTAGGCCCAAAGAAAAAAATTCCCATTTTGCCAAATATGGTATAAATGTTATTAAGCTGATCTCGGAAGTTTAAAGTAACCTGGATTGTAGACCAGATTTGATTAGAATTCTTTGGAGCCTTCCAGGCCTCTGCCATAAGAAGGTTTATCTGCTAGTGCAGGACTGGATGTGTAGATAATGAAAATTCCTGTGATGAATGCAATAAAGGGAGAAAGGAGGGAAAATGAAGCCTGTAAGATTTCTACAGGAATTCATGAGACAAGCTACTAAAAAGCAGTGGAATTAATACCACCTTCAGAAGAGTTGTATAATCTAGTAAGCACTCCGTGTAGCTTTTTTTGGATTTGTTTTTTACTATATATTTATCTTTGCACACACGCTTTCTCAGTTCACCTTTTTGGCGCTCCTGAAGAGCGTTAATTCAGCTCACGGGTCCCTCTATAACACTAATCTGCTAAACGTAGCAGAACAAAAATGGAGGAGAGGATTCTGAATAGAATTAACTTTTCATATCCAGCCATGAAAAATACTGGCAAGACAGTGTCTCAGTTGCTGATGTGTAGTAGTTTATTCCTGACTGAATAGTCTTCTCTCCTCCTCTCGCCTTTTTCTGTCTCAGTTGCTGATGTGTAGTAGTTTATTTCTGACTGAATAGTCTTCTCTCCTCTCGCCTTTATTCTTCAGCTGAGTCACTGACGGGCAGAGGCCGTTATACGAAGCGGATTCGTTACCATGGCAAAGGCATGTATGGCATCATGAAAATCCCCAGGTGTCATTACTTTGTGAAGTTGGTGGAAGGTCCTCCTCCTCCTCCAGAGCCACCAACCACTGGGTTTGACCAAGCAAAAGAATATGTGCAGCAGCTGCGAAGTAGAACCCTTGTTAATACGTTGTGACAAAATTTTGTGACTGTATAGGTATTTCTTGTTTGACAATGTAATTACATAAAAGAATAATTAAAATCATGTTTTAGTTACATCTTTGGTGCTGCTGGAGCTGGATGATGCAAGAGTGATCATAGGCTTTTTTTCTTATTTGTCAAGTATGGAAAAATCTTAAAAAGAATAATTAAAATCATGTTTTAGTTACGTCTTTGGTGCTGCTGGAGCTGGGTGATGCAAGAGTGATCGTAGGCTTTTTTTCTTATTTGTCAAGCCATAGGTATGGAAAAATCTTGGAGAAGCAACAACTTTTTCTGAGTTACTTGGACCACAGCATTCAAGCTCTACCCTGGACTATCAAATCTAGAATGTACAGTGCTGTTCTAAAGCTTTAAGGAACTGTGGTTCTCCTCAACTCACACAGCTGCCTGTTATGTATGGTTAGGTCTTGTATTGTGAAAATATGTGCCTGACAGTGATGCTACAAGGTCAAGACTTGGACCAAATTACTAAAATTTGACATCTTGCAGTAGATACAACAGTGGAACAAAACAATAACAATAATAGTTGAGTTTATCAGACATCAGTTTATGGTTTCTGTATCTGGGCCATAATGCTCTTTCCTCACAGACTCTGTTGTGCATCTTCAGCTTTCTATGTGGGAGTGGGGAATAAAAGAAACATTTAAAGTTCAGGTTTGAACAGAGTCAGTAGATGGCAATGTTTAGTTTGTCAGAGAGGGGGAGTGGCAGTGAAAACTTGCAGCATGTTGGAACTGTGCCTTGGTTCTGACCATGGCATTAATAGTCTGAAGTGTGCGTGGAGTTCAGGCTGGTCTCTGTGGAAACTCAGTATGGGGAATGGGCACAATATGGAGAAAAGGCTGTCTCGGTGAAGACTGCACTGAAAATAAATTGCTTTTGTAATGTTGAGGAGTAAAATGCTCCGTGGATTTAATATGGAATGTCTTGTTGCATATACAAATTGGGCTTTCAGGTCTCTGAAAACAATTCCATTTTTATCGTTACTGAAGAAGACTGAGGTCAGAAGGGGGAATCTCATTTCACCCAGTCAAATTTTCAACTCGGATGGTCAGAGATCATGAACATCAGCATAAAAAGAGAATGAGTAGTTGCTTGTTTATGCAAATGCCTGATATTTAGACCTTTCTGTTGCATTCTGGGAACACTAGAATGAGAGGTAGATTGCTTAGTTCACTTGGATCTTTTTGTCACACCAACTCATGGTGTGAGTCTTTCTTACATGTGTTTACTTTGAACAATACTTGAATGATGGCAAAGGGACAGTTCCTGTTAGGAAACAAATTATCTTTGTTGCCTTAATGAAGGTGGCATACAGTTGTTTCTTTTGGCTACCAAAGAAAGGGTCTCATGATGTTAGAGGGTTAGAGGCTTGTGAAGTTACACAAGAAGTACATGCATAGCTCAATACTATTAATGGGTGCTTATTTTTCTGCAGTGCACTTATGAACACATTACCTGCTTTAAAGCCACAATTTAGTAACTTCTGTCTGAAAAATATATTCCTGATAAAACTCCCTATCTCTGTAGTCCCTGATGTGCGTTTGAAGAACTGTTTCTGCTATACTATGAAAAACAGCTGTGCTTGGCTCTGCCAGCTGCTGTTCAGCCCTTTTGTCATAATGAATCTCTTGCAAGTTGTAGCAAACTTGAATGACTTAATCTTTTTTGGGGTCAGTGATCTGGGAGAAGACTAGGGAATTGCAAACTAACCCAAGCTTAATAAGCAATTGTCAGCTCAGCACGTAAAACCTCGCTTCTAGATATTTTACTCCAGTACCTGTTCCTCCTGCGTGCTGTAGATTTTGCTTCAGCTCCCTTCTGGACTTCCAGACAAGGTTGTATCCTTATAGATATCTTTGCTGTCATCATGGATCTGCAGATGGGAAGAGAAGTGAGAATGTAACTGATGTCTTTTCCAGGTTCTTCATGACACGGTAGGTGGCCCTGACACTCCTTTAGACAATCAGACGTGGACTTTTAAAATTTTTCAGTCAAAAAGCAATATCGTTGCTTGTTTTTGTTTTCTTTCTCAAAACAATAACTGGGAAGACTTTTTTTTAACATGTTTTTCAGCATTCCTCTTATTCCTTAGTACCCTTTTCAAAATGCTTTCTTAAAGACATTATATAAAGACATCTTATAGCCTGTAGTGGATCTTTATGGTGTTGGCTGAAGAAGCTCCGTAGCTGTGGCTGTGACAGTACAACAATGGGAGATTTGGTGAGATGAGGGGCTTGAACTGGCTTGATCCCTGCCTTTCACTGGTGAGATGGTAAGTGTCTGAAGTGGTTTCTGTGGTAGGTGCATCAGAACAGTGATGTGGGAACCTGCCTGAACCCTTTTAAAATTGAGTAAGATCTAGTGATAAAGCTTTATTCTGTCAAGTACTATATATAAATAAAATTTGGGGGTTTTGATTCTACTGTGCTTTCTTTGTACATCTACACTTCAGTTAGATATTTGATATGGATTCAGACAGAAAATTCCATGATAACTGCAACAAGTCTTTAGCAGAAGATAATTTATGACTGTGACCTCCAATAAAAGAACATTCTTAAATGAGCCGTCGCCAGAAGGGAGGGGGAGAGGTACCTAGGCCTCTTACTTGATGCTAATTTTATTATTAACATCTGGGGGCACTGTAAACTCACCGCTTGTGTACGTATGTGCTGATGTTACAGAAACTGGAGAAGGAGCAAGTATGCATGAAGGTGTAGTTAAGGCTTCAGGGAAATCTGAAGAGAGCAGGACTGTGAGCTGTGCTCAGCAATGTGAGGTTTAATTGAGGAAAACTTAAAAACCTGCTGCTGGGCTTATTCATAAACATTTTAAAGTATCCAATGAGAAAGTCAAAGTATCTTTGTCAGGCAGCCTGATGTCTCTCTGGATGTGGAGTTTTTTTTTTTCTTTTTAAAACTCTTGAGCATTTATTGAGGAGATGGTTCATCAAAGGTAGAGTAAGGAAAGACTCATGAATATAGTTATGAAGTGATCATCAGCCTTTTTAAAAACATGGAAGATAAATGTGTGTGTGATAGACAATGACTGGACAGATGGGGACCTCTGATTCTTGTCAGGGCTGTAAATACTGGAAATTGCTGGTGTGAAGGGAGCTGCATTAGGGCTTGGTGGTACTTGGGCACGGAGTGGCATGTTCTGCCCAGTGCTTCAGCTGGGCAGAAGCAAGTGGTGCTGTACCTGACACGAGCTTGAGTAGACCAAGGACATACAGCGCAACTCTTCTGCTTACGCCTTTTTGCACAAATGGGAGGGGTAGGACAGTACGGCCACCTCCATGCTGTGGAGTTGTTTGGGAAGTCCTTCAGTCACTGGAGTGAAGGAACAATAGAAATCTGTGTTTGCTTCCTGGCAGTCCCTATGAAAATCCACTGCTGGGATGCTGGAAAGTAATTTGCAAACAGAATTCTCCTTTAAATAGAAATAAGGTTACTCCTAATATCCTCAATGAACCATAGAAACGAAGTGTGACATTGTTCACCATATGAGTTATAGTCCTGCTGAAAATGCCCCTGTTTCTGACTTTTCAAAGAACAAGCCTTTATTGCTGGATGACATATATCCAGCTGCACTTCAGCCATGTAATTTAAAATAATTACTAATTAAACAAAATAAGAGACTGCAGTAGCAATAATAATCACACAAGTTACTGTTTGCTGGAGCCTTACCTAGGGAAAATAACTTGAAAGGAGGGGAAAGTTTCAGGAACTTTGAGTTTGAGTACTCAGACTGAACTAAGGAACAAGATACCTCTTGGGAGCAGTCAGCAAACGCGGCGCTAATTTTGTATTTGCTCTATAACATCAACACTCTCGTTTCAAGGAAGTTGTAGGCTAATACAGAGGACAGGCTGCCATTGAAGAGAACGAGCCAAGGAGAATGTAACTTTATGTTGGGCAAATTAGGCATCCACCTCAGAATACCAGCTGAGGAAATGAGTCTGAAAGTCTATGTAACGCACTTGATCAGGGCGTTCTTGGAACTGAAGACAACACATGGGGAAGAGAATCTCAGTATCTGCTGCATCTGTGGGTTCTGCTTCTGTGTTGCACAGTAGTACAGCCATCGGGTTCTGTGTGGTAAAACAAATTTGTCATATATGAATCTAGATTCACTCCCTTTTTTTTTTTTTTCTCCAAAAATAATGAAATGGAGGCTTAAACCATATTTGTACTTATATGATACTTTTATTTTAAATTCATTTGGAGTTGGGATCATTGTCAACACCACATCAAGTCACCTGTGTCTCTATCTAACAGTACTGGAGGTGCAGCCACCTCTCTGGTAGCCTGTCCTAGTGCTACCCTACTCTGCCTGTGAGAACTTCTTGCAAAGCCCAGCCTGAGCCTCCCAAGCTGTTCTCTGTTGTTCTTTGTTCTATTGCCTGGTGCTATTGAGAAGTGGTTTGACTCTCTCACGTTGTAACTCTCCTGTTGCTGTCAGATCACCCTGCTAGCCACCTTTTTGGTAGGATAAAAGGTAGGTAGGTAGTTTCAACCTCTCATAAATCTAGTTCTCTAGACCTTGTGCTGTATCCTCTCCAGTTTCCCCATCTCTGTTGTAGTGGGGGACCTAAAACCAGTCTCAACATTCCAGGTACAGCTTCATGAGTACCGATGAGAGGGTGATAACTTCCCTCTGTCTACTGGCCATGCTTTAATGGAGCCAAGCATGCAGTTTGCTGTATCTGTGATGAGAGCATGTTGTTGGCTCACATTTGCCCTGATGTTCAGTCAACTCCCAGGTCCTTTTCATGTTGCTCATCAGAATTGCAGTAAGTACCTGTGGTGCCTGTATTCCAGCTCTCATTGCTTTTCTGTATACACTAGCGAGGGCTCCTTTACCACTAGGAAATTGTTCTGTTGGTGATAATTTTCCTTCTTAATAGAAAAGTTGCAAAACAGTTTTCTGGCTTCTGTTATTAATCAAACTCTTAGGCTAGCTAAGAGTGGAGGAAAGACACTTCTACATGCTATTGTGGTAAACTTCATCGATGTATGCAGCTAATAAGTGGTGAAATGTGTCTACACCTCTG